TTAAAGTCAGGAAAGCTGTGCACCAGGGTTGTATCCTCTCACTAGACGCATTCACTCAGAGAAGCTGGATTAGAATGTGACACCAGGCTCGTGGGATGGCTTATTAACAGCCTGAGACATGCAAATGACACAAATTTGCTTGCTGACCATGAGAAGGGGGTATTTGCTGAGGAAGATAAAAGATCAGTCTTCAGTATGGATTACAACTCAATGTAAAGAAAACCACAACCCTCACAACTGGATCAATAGATACCATCACGAGAAACCGAGAAAAGAATGGAGTAGTCAAGGATTGTGTCTTGCTTGGATCCACAACCTATAGAAACCGAAGTCAAAGATCAAAAGAAGTGTTGCATTTGGCAAATCTGCTCCTGAGAGACAAGGCTGGTGAGACTGTCGTGTGTAATTTGGACATGCTATCAGGAGAGGCCAGACCCTGGAGAAGGGCAGCATGCTTGACAAGACAGATTCACACCATGGCTGTAACCATGGGCTCAACATGAGAACCATATTTGAGGATGGCACAGGGCTGGGCAGTGTCTTGCTATGTTCTACACAGGGTCGCTATAAGAGCCAACTGGATGGCACCTAACAACAACAACAGGTACTAACTAATTAGTGCAGAACCCATGTTCAAGTGATTCAGAGCATATCTACATGTATTAATCAGGCCTTGAATTGAGTACTAAGTCAACTAATTAATAGTTGTGTGGTTTGGGATAAGTGATTTTTATCATTTATACTTCACTTGCCTCATTTATGAAATACTGAATATAGCATCTGTCTCAAGGCTATTTTCCCTCCCAACAATTAAAGGTGATAGTACTCAGCAGAGAGACGGAAACATTGCTAATAATAAAAAGCCTACTTTGTATATTAGTAGTAAAGCTATCATAATAATTCACAATATAATTGAACAAATGAAAAGATATAATCTCATGTTAGCCTTAAAAACACAAATACCGTATTCACTTTAAGGACTAACTAGAGCACAGGGCTTCAGTACCAGTAACTTTCTCCCATTTCTTCTGCCATAACTCTGTGTGTAAACCTGAGCGGCTCCTCCACTGCCACCAGGTGGTCTCAATTTTCTCACTTCTATCTTCCAGGAAGTGACTCTAAAAGCAACCTCGTCTTTAATTAAATCACATTCATGATTCCATAAAAAACAGCTCATAATATACTTCGGCAGTCTATGCATTTGCCTTTCAAAACACAGGCCTGTCTATAAAACTCACTTTGAATGCTTTTCTACTGTATGCTCATGGTAAATAAGACTTACACATAGACAGTGTGACTGAAAAACCGGCTAGATAATTAGTTGAGATTTAAATGAAATCGTTATGTATTCTATCTATTATTCATTTAGTATGAATAATACTAAAGTTTTAAAAGCTGTACTAGTATGTAGTTTCATTAGTAGTCTCTGAAAAATCAAATTCTCAGAAATATGATAAAACCATCTCAGATACTTCAATTCTGCATAAGCTACTGTCAAACCACACTCAACCATGGATGTGTCATTTATCAGAAAGAAATTCCATTTCTAAATATTTCAATTGAGCCTCTCAAGAAAATTTGGCCCCAGTGGCTGCTTGGTAAATATGTCAAAATTCCTGTTCTATTTCTATTCGTTAACAAGGAAAAAAATGACTCAATCAGTATTAACAATTTTGTAAAAGAAAATCTGTGAAAGAAAATCAATCAATCAACGACCAAAATGCTTTTTAAAAGATGTTATTTCTCTTTAATGAACTGGTGCAGAACAAAAAAAATATGTTCTTAAATTTTTAAAATACCGATGGACCAGAATTCACTCACTCTGAGCACAGGTCTTTGGAAAACCACTAACTTCTGCTTAAGTCAGCACAATTCCAAGGCTCAAACAATGATGTGCTTTTTAAAAAAAAAAAATCATTTTATTAGGGGTTCATACAACTCTTATCACAAGCCATACACACATCAATTGTGTAAAGTGCATTTGTACATTCATTGCCCTCATCATTCTCAAAACATTTGCTCTCCACTTAAGCCCCCGACATTAGGTCCTCATTTTCCCCTCCCTCCCTGCTCCCCCCTCCCTCATGAGCCCTTGATAATTTATAAACTGTTATTTTGTCATATCTTGCCCTGTCTGACGTCTCCCTTCACCCACTTTTCGGTTGTCCGTCCCCCAGGGAGGAGATCACATATAGTTCCTTATAATCGGTTCTCTATGCCTGCATTTTTTCCTACTCACAAGTTTTAAGTCGTTTGCTCTTTTATGCACCAGCCACTCAACGTGAAATTGTTTCCCTTTCTGAATTGCTAATTTCATGAACCACAAGGATCACTTAAGGAAGGTTCATTGAATTAAATTATACTTCTGAGGACAAGCCTTAGAAAGTAATTATTAGTTTGTTTTTCTTACAATATAGTGTCACTGCGTAGGATGCAATCAATGTATATTTGATATCAAGTAATTGAGATGGTTTCTGTATCCTAATACCTTGGGCATTAGCCCTCAGGGTAGATGCTGCCCTGCAGTACACACGCTGACTTGTTCCCTGTGGAGCGAGACCAGCTCGGTCAGAAGTGACTGCTCTCCAGTCTCCAGTCTCCACAGCAGCAGCCGCAACCTCAAGGGAGTTATCAGTTTCTAACCACTGTCTACGATGAAGACCAGTCCGAAGGTCCTAAAAATGATAGTGCGGTTATGGGAATGAAAATACTCTCATGAGATCAAAATATTTCCCATCATTCTACATTTTAGCCCTTGAGCAGGGGCTGTGAAGGGAAGGAAAGACGTTCAGGAGCCGTTCCAAAATCAGATAAATAGCCCAGATTTACTGAAGACTTGCTATTTGCTCGCTTCACAAGGATGATCTCAATCTTTCAGCCAGCTTCCAATAAAGCGGCAATATTATGACCGGGCACTTGAGGCTTGGAGAGCTTAGGCAACCTGTCAACAGACACACCCCTAGACACTGACCGGGGAGATTTGAACTGGGGAAGAAAAAACAAAAAACCAAACTCACTGCCATCGAATCAACTCTGACTCATAGCCACCCTCCAGGACAGGGTAGAATGCCCCTGTGGGTTTCTGAAATGCTTCACAGGAATAGAAAGCCTCATCTTTCCCCTGCAGAGCACTTGGTGTCGGTGAACTGCTAACCTCAATGGTAGCAGCCAATGTGTAACCCTGATGCCACCAGGGCTCCTGAATCAGGTAATGAGAGTCTTTATACCACCTGCAACCCAACGCTTCCATGAGAAAAGGGCAATAGCACACTAAGCTAGGAACACAAGGCATTATCATGAGCAGACATTCTTAACTCAGACACTACGCTCCAAGATTCTGAGGCCTCTGACTCCTGGGTAAGAAATTAACTATCTCTTATCTAATCTGCAGAGATATATGTGCTTCGGTGGGGCGGGGGGGGCGTCAAATCAGGAAAAATTACGCTAATGTTAATCTAGGAAACTATACAATGTCTTTTATGAGATACAGCGTTGTTAGTGCTCCCTTATACATCAGAAAAAGCCTGATTCTATTACTGTTGTCTTCTACTGGCTCTCTTCTAACCTTACCTCATTACATTCACATAGGAGGGGGCTTCGAAAAGTTCATGGAAGAAAGCTGATGGTGCCCAGCTATCAAAAGATATAGCCTCTGGGGTCTTAAGGGCTTGAAGATAAACAAGCCGCCATCTAGCTCAGAAGCAACAAAGCCCACATGGGAGAAGCATACCAGCCTGTGTGACCACAAGGTGTCGAAGGGATCAGGTATCAGGCATCAAAGAACAAAAAAATCATATTATTGTGAATGAGGGTGGGTGCAGAGTAGAGACCCAAAGTGCGTCTGTAGGCAACTGGACACACCCTTACTGAAGGATTGTGGAGAGGAGATGAGCCAGTCAGGTTGCAGGGTAAGCAACGATGAAGCATACAACTTTCTTCTAGTTCTTAAATGCTTCCTGCCCTCACTATTGTGATCCCAAATCTACCTTACAAATCTGGCTAGACCAGAGAATGTACATTGGTACAGATAGCAACTGGAAACACAGGGAATCCAGGACAGATGAACCTTTCAGGACCAGTGGAGAGAGTGGCGATACCTGGAGGGTGGAGGGAAGGTGGGGTAGAAAGGGGAAATGGATTACAAGGATCTACATATAACCTTCTACCTGGGGGATGGACAACAGAAAAGTGGGTGAAGGGAGACATCGGACAGTGTAAGATATGACAAAACAATAATAATTTATGAATTAAGAACAGTTCATGAGGGAGGGGGTAGTGGGGAGGGAGGGGGAAAACGAGGAGCTGATATCAGGGGCTCAAGTAGAAAATAAATGTTTTGAGAATGATGATGGCAACAAATGTACAAATGTGCTTGACACAATGGATGTATATATGGATTGTGAAAAGAATTGTACGCGCCCCCGATAAAATTATTTTTTTAATTAATTAATTTTTTTAAAAGTTCATCGTAAAATGGAATTAAATGATAATTTTTTCATGAACTTTCTGAAGTCTCTGTATTTATGCCATGGCATAGATTATTACATACTAATAAAATAGGATCCCTGTTAAAAATCAAGTTTTCTATCAGGTGAATCTACTTTGAGCACAGAGAAGTTAAAAATTGACTTAAACACATCAGAAGTAGGCTCACTTCTCAGTCTTTTGGTTAAGATCAAGTGCAACGGCTCAGAAGTTATACGTCCTCATATAATCAAAAGAAGAACAATCTCTTGTACGAGACTCTGTGTTTAATTTTCTTCTCCTGGCAGGTGACTTTTATGAACATCATTAAACTGAAGAGTGTTCTTTTATTTTTTTATAAGGCACCACATTTTGTGAGCACCAGTTTCTTAGATTAAAGAAGCATCCTACTTTCCATTAGCAGGGAAAAATAATTAATATTTTGGGGCCCAGTTTCAAAAACAAATGTTAGTAGCTAAAGAGATCACACACATCCACGTAGTATCCAATCATGTCAAAGCAAAACCACAGCTTACCTTATCACCTCGCAGACCAGGAGGACCTATTAATCCAGAAAGGCCTTGATTACCCTGTACACAAAACACAAATAGAGGTATAATGTCATGAAAGACAATTAAACATTAGAGTTTATTTACCCTTTAGACTGCTAACCACAAGGTTAGCATTACTCCCATAAATATTTCTAGGTTCAAAAGCCCGCAGGGGTAGGTTCCACTCTCTCCTATAATGATACCATGGTGGTATGTTATGGACCGCAAGCTCTTCCTGTGTTTCTTTCTGTTCTTCACAACGCGGCTCATGCCACTTCCTTTCTGAGGCCTTCGAAGACCTTTTCTGAAGTTCTCGACCCCTACATCTTAGCACCACCCACTTGAACTGGACTTCCCACTTCATGCCCAGGCTCTTTTTTCTCTTAAATAAGGAATGTCCTTATTTCCACAGTCCCCATCAATGATGATCTACCTTGTTTTTAAAAGCTATTAAACTAAACCCATTGCTATCGAGTTAAGATTCATGGTTTGTAGGCAGTCAATCTTTACTGGAACCAATAGCCTCATTTTCCTCCCACAGAGAAGCTGGTGGGTTTGAACCACTGACCCTGCATTTAGCAGTTCAATGATTACTGGACAGCCCCACCAAGACTTCTTTTAAAAGCTATAGTTTTCTTAACAATTCTACAAGCACTTTATGAGACAGCCGAGAAGGGAATCTGGCTGCCTCTTCTTCCTGAGGACCGTGAGCCTGCTCTGACTCCAAAGGAGAACCTCTGGATAGGCCCTGTGGTGTGACTAGACCAACCAGGGCCATGTGGCACATCGGGAAGGGACACTTGTGCGTCCAGGAATGCAGTGTCCTCTTAAGTCTATCTTTGGAATCTAGCAGTCTTATGGCTTCCAGTGTTTGTCCAAACATACATAGGGACTTAACTATAATGAAAACATTTGGGGAGGCCTTTGTATTTGGCTTTTGACTCCAGTAAGCCCTGGGGAACAGTTCTACTCTACCCTATCGGATCACTCTGAGTTGGACTAGGGAGTGGGTTTGTGTTTGGCTGTGGCAGACTATTTCATCCAGTGCCTCCCATTGCTTGCATCCTGATGAACACTTGTGCACCTAGGTTGGGGTTACGTGGGATTAGTATTCCCCCACAGAGGGAGAAGTGTCTTTGGACAGTGATATGAGTCACATTGAATTCTGTGTGTCTTCACAATAAAAAACATGTATCAGACATAGGAACATGGATCATTCGGAGCCATTCTATTCAGAGTGCACATTTCCCCCCTTCCAAGCCTCCCTTTCCCCCTTTCCACTTCAATAGATGTATTAGCATGAATGAAATGTATTGTGTTTGAAACAAAAATAACTACTGAAGGAGAAAAGTGAGGTCTACTTTGTCATGTAGGGTCAGAATTGAGTGAACAGCACACAGCAATAGCAGCAATCCGTATTTTGATCGAGGCACACAGGACTGTTCGATGTCCTAGCAAACAGGCGAGTGGAGGCTGGTCTCCTTCCACGCTCAGGGCATGGGTAAATCACTCATTTTCTCCCACTTGCTCTGGGAGAAAATCTGGGTAAACAACCCTGTTCCTCTCTCTGTAAAATGCTTTACTTATAGGAAAGGAAACTTAATGCCATTGAAAAGCTATCTGCGTGTGCCCATGAAGTCCCCCAAAGGCAAAATCAGATGTATGCTCTATGACACCTTATGGCTGTTACATGGTGAAGGACTCGCGCAGACTTTTATTTTAATGTTTTAACATGGATCATATGGTTATGCTAAAAATCGTAAAATAGTTTCTTCCCAATTCCACTCTATCCCCACCAACTTAATGTTTGTATTTTATTTGAATGCCAATGTTATTTGTATTCATATTGTATGTGGATAAAAATCTCCTGTTATTTGACGCAAATTAAATATTAAGACTTCTTAAACTTTACTATTTTAGACAGGTGGATTTCACCCAAAACTCTTGGCTATCTGTCATTAAATTGCATGTATTTCTATGTTTCTCCTACATAGTATTAGCCACAGTTAGTATATGAGTAATTCTTTTTAAAAGTTGACATACTTCCAACTGTCATTCCATAATGACCCTATAGTTTTTCAGAGAGGAGCAACAAGGAAAGAGGAAACTAAGTATTTGACAAAAAGGTAAATGTTCACTCTGGGATTTTATTTAAAGCCATCGCTAAAATAGAGTGAGTCCATAATTTCTAAACTTTTAGTATGAAATGTAATGTCCAATATTTAGAAAAAGAGCATTCATGATTCTTCCTCATACTGTAGGAATTTTCTTGGCAATAATTAAGGGACTAATTAAAATATTGTATTTTTAGGAATATATTCCCAATTATTTAAAACTATGCACTCAGTCTTCTGACAGAAATAAACCTCTTAAAATTCTACATAAATATGTTTGAGGATTCAGAGATGTTAATGTAATATTCTGTAGAGTCCATTAATTTGATGTCATATTAGTTTACAAGAGTTTCTATAAACCAATTAAAGGATCAGATTTCAACACAAGAACCACCAAACATTATTAAGGAATTTAAGTCTGTGAATGTATACCACATAAATAAAAACATCCTGTAATTATATCACATTCATCAAGTACTAGTCTAAACAAAGTTTCTCAGATGCTTTCCTTTCCAATTACATTCAGCCTCATTAGAAAACAACTCTCTTAACAGCTATTGCTGCAATCTTAGAGGCAGTTCACGTAAAGATAAGAATTCATGTGGTGCAGGAGCTCTGTTGGCATTGTGGGTCCCTTGTTTGGCTGTTATCTGCAAAGTCAACAACTCAACTACAACAGCCTCAAGAGGAAGCAATCTACACTCATGGAGATTTATAGCTTTGGAAACCCTAGGGAGCGGCTCTGCTCTATCCTACTGGATTGCTATGCCTCAGAATTGATTCAATGGCAATTGCTTTGGTTTAGTTTTGGGCATGTGTATTTGAAAGCAATATGGTAAAATGAATAGCATACTGAACTAGAAGTCAGAAGACTTGAATTAAGTATTAACTGCCGCTTGGTAACCAGATGATTTAAGTATCTTCCAATTCTATTTCTCAACTAGAAAATGGAACAGTGGTGGCTGTCTCTCAAAGAGATTGCTATGGAGCTGAACAAGATAAACAAATTGAACCACCTTAATAGGGCATAAAATAGCATAGAAACTTGTGTGTGTGTGTGTGTGTGTGAGGAGAGAGAGAGAGAACAACACAATCTTTGAGGGTTAAGAACACATCACATCCTACTCTTTTGTTCACTCCACCCACTACTAACTGACATATAGACAACGACAGGATACAATAGACACGCAGTACAAGTAGCTGCTGTTATGACTTAAATCAATAAGTTAAACTAATAAAATAATTTACTTAATTCTTGAAATACTTCTTTTATCATTGTAATCCAGTAGTTCTCCAATATCTTCTTTGTCAAATGTCAAATAAAATGTAGATTTAAGAAGGTTAAAATAGCCAAAACAATTTGAAATATCTTACCATAATTTTGTTTTATGGAAAATAATTACCTTTTCTCCATAAAGAGCTTGACCAGGGGATAAACCTGGATCTCCTTTGAGGCCCTAGATAAAAGTTATAAAACATTTAATGAGACATAAATTACATACCTTCAGTTTTAAGAACCATTGTATTGTACAAAATCAAATTATTTTAAAGAGAAATAGGAAAAGTTCATTTGTTTTTCATGCCTTTCTTAGCTTTTTTATGTTAAAATTCCCTATACATAGATGATTTTTAATATGATAAATGTGATACTAGTGAAACCTATGTTTGGGTACCTGCATACTCTATTCTGAATTTGCAACATAGTGATTTATTTCTTAGTTTATTAAAGCTAGTATATTTGAATAAAAGAGACCTGCTTATGATAATTCTTAAAATATTAATATAAAATTTAAGTTTAAATATTTTGTAAACCCTTGCAATGAACCTGGATTACTTTTATTTACATAGAACCCTAAATACAGGCATGTACATAGGTTAAATATATTTATATATGATGACGGGGAAATAGATCTATGTGCATATATTTATAGGCTTAGTGTTTAAGGTAGCAGATGAACATTGGGCCTCCACTTAAGTACTCTCTCAATACAAGAACACGTTGCTCAGCTGAACAGACATTCCATGATACCCACCTTTCAACATGATTGATGAAGACAAATGTGTACGTAAGCAAATGTGGGGAAGAAGGCTGATGGTGCCCAGCTAT